CTAATTGCTCCGAGGAGCTGCATTCGCTGATTCCCAGACTTCATGAGTTTCATCGCCCTACGAGGCTCGCATCCCGCTCTCACCCTTTCACTGTTAAAACTATTAAATGTAGCCGTCTCTTCTACTCCAATAGCTTCATATCTCGCACCTCTCGCCTGTGAAACTCCCTTCCCTATTCCTGTTTCCCTGTGAGCTATAATCTCCAACTATTCAAATGTAATGTCAATCAACATCTCCAGTTGTCTTGATTTATCCACTGTCCTTCTCTTCATCCTTTCCTCTATCACTCCTATCTGATCTTGCTCCAAATCTTGCGTCCTAGTGAAAAATTTGGTATGTGAAACGCTCAAATAAAAAAAATGTTTGAATGTATGTATATATATATATATATATATATGTATATATATGTGTGTGTGTGTGTGTGTGTGTGTGTGTGTGTGTGTGTGTGTGTGTGTGTGTGTGAAAACGCTTTGTTTAGTAGACGCTCCGTTTATTTATTAAACAAAAAATATTTATTTATTTTCTTAACCGACCTGAATGTTCGAGAAATCTTATTAAAGCAAAATTTGCACTCTTGGAGAGAGAGAGAGAGAGAGAGAGAGAGAGAGAGAGAGAGAGAGATATTGGGGTCAACGCTCAGCAGCGACAATCTGTTTTATGTTTAAAGGCAACTTTCAGGCCATCCTTTAAGTATGAAACAGACTGTCGCCGTTGGATGTTGACCTCAATGTCCACTGATAATATATCTACATAAGAAACAATCCCTGATACTGAGAACCTTTACCCATAAATATATTCAAACCTTAAAACTATATTTTTCATATATATATATATATATATATATATATATATATCTCTCAACTCTTCCGTCGAATCCGACGTATGAAGGTCAAGCAGATCAGTTCCCAGGAAACCGACAACAGCACATGAGAATTGATTATAGTGGTGAAGGTTTCGTGTTTTGTTTGATGTAGTGTGGAAGATCAACATCTTGATCATGTCATTACTTTCTTTTCGATTTACATGTGCTACCTATTTAGTTGTTGGTAGTTCTCGAGTTATGTGGTTTCTTTTATTTGGTTCAGTTCTTTGCGGATCTGTAGCGCCAGTCCACAATGTTCAAAGAAGAGTGATCTTCGCCAATGACCCTCAGGCTTCACTCGCTCATGGGAGATGCTGCTCAAAGAATTTCGTAAAAGACAAGGATAACTGTAACAAATTTCAACATAAATATGGTCATATCGGCTTACATTGTTTTGTTTTTTTATATTTAATTCATTATTCAATACTATTATCAATATATACATAATTTACTTTAGTCCTTCATAATACCATCCGTGTTGAGCATCCAGTGAGGATCGAACTCCCTCCAGGTTTAAAAAAAATTATTTTGTTAATCAGAATTCAAGGCGGGGCAACTGTTGGAGTAACTTTATCCTTTTCCCCTAATTAGTATTCCCCCACGCTTGACAGGTCATTTAATATTAACAGCCAGTCAGTGGAGCACAGTCTTCTGGTAGACGCCGCTATGGAATAGGATATTTTAGTCCAGAAAATCTTTTACAGCATGACTTGCTAGACTTGTAATAAAATACAGCCGTTTGTAACAACAACTAGCTTTCCTTTTCAGGGTCGGAGAGAAGGTATATAACACATTTCTTTACTTTTTTAGCATGATCTCTTTCGAGTAAATAAATACAATTCGTTTTTTTTTCAATCTCTCTAATTGTTTTTTTTAATATTTTTTACTATGCACGTTTGGTTAATTATCTGGTTTCGACGGCCACTTACTACCAGGGCCGCCAATATATAATTGCTAACCGAATGCGTCCGTATGAAGCTTGGCTCATCCTGAAAGGACACTTAGTGAGCTTTAAATTCTTTGTAGAAGTTAATAGTCTTCAAGATTTTCATCATGTTCAATTCTCCACAGCAAAGTGTCCAAACTAAACGGAGCTTATGTTGCTAGTGTATTCACAGGTTGCACCCTTACTATAGCCTTGTTCTAGACTAAGAAGCACCTGAAAAATGGAGACTAGAAGATTAGCAAACATGTATCACAGACTAATTCACTAGTTTTGTAAGTTCGATCCATACGGGTTCCCTCATACTGTGGTCTTGAGCTCAGTAAATAAACATAAGGTACCTCGCTGTGTAGAAAGGGTTAGGGAGCTCACCTAGCAGACAATTATTAGTTTTTAGGAGTTCGACCTACACTGCGTATTTCACACATTAGGGCCTTCGGCGAAAGCGCTGCTTAGCATAATAGAAGAAAGAAGGAAAGAAAGAAACAAAGAAAAAATAAATTGAATAAAAGAAAGAAAGAAATGAATAAATAAAGAGACTGAGAAAAGAAAGAAAATCGATTAAACCATCTAGTAAAAATAAACGAAAGACATTGGAAGATATAACGAAGAAAAATGAACAGACCAGAGAATGTAAGGGAAACAAATATAAAAAGGAATGAAGTCAAAAGAAAAATAAAGGAAATGAAAATATAATGAAACAGAAAAAAAAGGAAAATAAGAAAGAGAAAAATGAAAGAGAAAGACAAGAAGACAATAAAAAGAAGAAAAAAAGTAAAGAGAAAACCGAAAGAAAGAGAAAAAACATAATGAAGAAGAAAGAAAACGGAGAAAAGATTTTTAAATTAAGAAAAAGAAATGAAACCGTAAGAAATGAAGAAAGAAATTGAAAAATATATTGAAAATGAAAGAAAGGAAAACAAGAGAAAAATGAAAGAGAAAAAAGAAGAAAATAAAAGAAGAAAAAAGACACGATAAAACAGAAAGGTCGAATAGAACGTAAGAAAATAGAAAGAAAAAACAAAAGATAATGAAGGAGAAAGGACGAAAGAAAGTTAAATGAAACAAAGAACGTGGTAAAATATGAATATAAAAAAAAGAAAATGAAAAGGAGGAAAATGAAAAAAAGAAAGACAGAAAGAAAGAATATAATGAAATATAAATAAGAGGGAAAGAAATAAAGAATGAATGATTAGTAAAGAACGAATGAAAAATAAAAAAATAAAAAGAGAGACAGAAAGAAAAGTTTAAGATTTAAAAAAAAAAAACAACATGTAGACATTTGGGCAAATTTCGTAAGCAATTATTTGGATAAACTGAAAAATAAAGTGTCCCACTATTAGTCACCTCTTCGCAACAACCAACCTTTCCTAACCTGCCCCCCCTCCCTACATTTTCATTACTTAATTGCACTATTGCCATAGCAACCTTTATCTTTGCCATCCCTGTTACAATCATCGCCGTCACCATCACAGCCCTCGAGGCTAACACCAGCATTACCGTGTCCATGGCAACCAACAGATCCTTCCACCATTAGTTCTAAAGAGCTGTTACTTTGAGAGGTTTGGCGGAATTGATTGGCGCATTTGCCAACGAATATGGCAACCGTTGTAAATCCATTGTTATTCAGAAATTTCGATAATACATGAAACTCTACCTCAGTCTTGCTCTCGCGCTGAGTTTTGTTTTTCGATAAACTGAAACACTTCAGCACCAGTTTTCAATAACATTTATAAACATTCTGTTTTATATCCTCTACTTCCGGTTTATTTTTACGCGGGTTATTATCGCCTGTCTCTTTCCACTAATGTTTCATCTCTCTATGACACTTATAAGACTTGTGATTTGTCAGAATGCATGGTTATCAGTAAAAGGATGAGCCCAAAATGCGATTTGCAGGTCGGGAACACTAAAATTAAACATGAGCGGAAGTTTAAGTAACTGGGAAGTGTTCTGACGGAGGGCGGTTGGTTTGAGGCTGAGATGCGAAAACGGGTTGGGATGGACAAGGATGCATTCCTGAAACTGGGCAGAGTAGTGCGAAAAAGGAGAATTTCTATGGTGACAAAGAAAAGCGTACGTGACATCTGTCCTCCTATACGGCAGCGAATGATGGACGGTATCCTCAAGGATGAAGAAGAGACTCGAGGCGGCAGAGATGGGGTTCTACAGAAGGATGCTGAGAATATGATGGATCGAACATGTGAGTAACGATAAGGTCTTGGAGAGGTTGCAAAAAAGAGGAAGTTTATGCTTAACATCAGGAAGAGGCAGCTGAAGTTTCTGGGACATGTGATGAGAAAAAAGGGCCTGGAGAATCTGATACTCACGGGACGAATAGAGGTGAAAAGAGACAGAGGACAGCAGCGCATGACATACGTGGCGGGCTTGGGCAAATGGATGGTGGAGCGTGGTCTGGGGGAGTTGACAGAAACAAGGGAGCCACAAGGGATAGGAGGAAGTGGAGGGCTATGATCGCCTACGTTCTGAAAGGACACGGCACATAAAAAGAAAGAAAGAAGACACTGACCCAAAATATTTTGTATACACATTCCACTCATTAATACAGGGTAAAAGTAGCGTTACTTTTTTTAAAGGAGAATCCATTGCGGCTATTTTATTGCTAGTTTTACTCCATCTTATTATTGTTGCTTTTTATCACAACTTTCTGGGTCGATAACCTTCTCGTGTCTATAAAAAATACATAAATAAAAACAAATGAATTATACTGTCACTGTGTCATGTCCAAAAACATAAATAAATAAAAATGAATTAAAGTGTCAAAAATAATTATAATAAAATAATTACAACAATTACAATTATCATTACTTCATTGTAAACCAATGAGAATCGACTCCACGCATACACGTGACATTCTCACTACCAGATAAGCACTCAACACAGACAGGTTGTCAATACGTGCGTCAACAAAAATGTCGATTCCTTTTCCCTTTTTCGGCCATAATAGTAACATTTATCTCTTAGCATCCAACAAAAATTCAAGGTAGAAAACCCCAGACACTTCTTGTATTTTCCAACTAAATTAACCCACAGATGGAGAGAAAGGGGGGAGGTGAATTCATACCTTGCCTAAGTTCATTTGTGCTTAAATGAATATAACGAACCCAAGTGGAATTAGAACTCGGATTTCATATTTTCCTAGCCGTTATCTATTACACCACCCACACATTCAAGCTTACAGCCCCTTGTCTTTCCAAGCGGTCACCTATCTAGGTGCTGACTAGACTCGACGTTGCTTAACTTCGGTGACCGTACGAGAACTGGTGGTTCAATGTGATATGGCTGTAAGCAGTGTCATTATCGCCTTCTCTACTGGTGAATTGATTTAAGAAAATCAAATAACTGTTGTGCTTGTTTTTTTTTTATCATTATATGCTTTGTTATTCAGGGCAGCTTATTTATCTTATACAAACAACTTTTCAGCCATTGTGCCTTCCGGCCTTCTTCAGGTGTCTGATTTCGTACTCGGTAACATTTTTCTGAATTTTGGGCCGAGAACTATATTCAATCAACGGAAGTGAATTGTTTACAATTTTTAGGGGATACTTCATATCGATTAATATTTAACAGTCTTGTTCAAGTCTGTGTCGCTTGTCGTGCGTAGAGAGTCGTCCTGCAGTTCTTTGACTTAGAGCCTTCAGTTTGACTGCTTATCACCGCTACGCGTCCGACGGCCGCGTAAACGACTACCACACGCAGGGGACAGCCTGCGCGCACGAGGTGCGTTAAATTCCGCGTAGAGAGTTGTCCTGCAGATTTTAGACTTAGAGCCTTCAGTTTGACCGAATCAGAACATGACTTTTCAGCAGCAGACCCAGGGATTATCAATAAGATACAGATTTACAGATGCATCTATTTTCCAGTAGTCCTTACGCTTGTGTTTTTGTTAAAATACTCTGAATTTTGGCTGAGCAATTTGCCCAATTCTTGTAAAATCCTTTAGATTTAAGTTGTTTTTTATATTGATGCCTGGATTGAATTACTCACGATTTGTTTCATGCGCACGAACGTGTGTGTGTGTGTGTATGTGTATGCGTGTGTCGGACGCTAATGACGTAAGAAAGAACTTAATGGACACTGTTAAACGATGAAAGAACACTATACTTTCAGCAGATGTTTACATGTGTTGTGTACTATTTAAAATAGAAAAAACGAGCATGCGCAGCTTTGAGAAAAAAATGATGCGAGTGACCTATCTCTTTCTCTCTCTCTCTTTCTATCTGTCTCGCTCTTCTTTCTCACTTTTTCTCTCTCGTCCTCATTCTCTTTTTCTCCCGCTCTTTTCTCATTCTCTATATTTCATTTTGTTCTCTTTTTCCTTATTCTCTTTTTCTCTCTACTTCTTTCTTCATATCGTTCCTTCTCTTCGTTATTATTTCTTTATCTCTTTTTCACTCTCCCTTTTCGCACTTTTCTTCTTTTTTCTTTCATTCTTTCTTTCTTTACTTTTCTTTCTTTCTTTCTTTCTTCAAATTTCTGTTTTTTTCTTTATTCTTCGTTTTGTTTTTCTACATTTCCATTTTCTTTCAATATCTTCCACTGTCTTTCTCTCTCCCTCTCTCTCTCTCTTTCTCTCTTCATCACTCTCTCTCTCTCTCTCTCTCTCTCTCTGTTCTTTCTTTCTCTTTCCATTGTATCTCTATTCCTCTTTTTGTTTTTCTCTTCCTTTTTCTTCATTCTCTTTCTTCATGTCTTCCTTTCGGTCTTTCCCTATCTCTCCCTTTCTATCTTTTTCATACTCTCTCTTTTTTGTGTCTTTTCTCGATCTTTTCTTGATATATCTTCTTCTCTTCCTTTTATTTTTTACTTTCTCCCCCTTTTTCCGTTTCAGTCTCTCTATCCCTTTCTTTCTTTCTTTCTTTCTTTCTTTCTTTCTCAGTGCACGCCTATGATTCGACCAAAATCAACATCGCTATATTTTTAATGGTGTCATTTATTTTATTTCATTCCTTTATATATATCTCAACAGAATCTCAAATGCGCAAATGATACGAAAGTGAAGAGCCATTTTCAAATATGACGTCAATCCACAATTATTTTGCATTAAAAAAAAAAAATAGATAAATTGGGCAGTATCGCCCATCCTGAGTTGTTGATGAAAATGGGGTGTGGAAATTGGAATAAAATTTCGAATAAACCACCAGTCATTCATAATATCATTTCCAATTTTGTTACTTTCATGACCACGTTATGGCCGATGAGAGATCTTTGGCATTCCTTGGAAGAAGTTTTTTTTCAGCTAATGTTGAAATACAAGACCCAAGAGCCACTCAAGATAGATTATTACTGTGTAGTGTTGTATAAGCGTAAGTAGGCTATTCAAAGTTTTATATAACTTCTATGATGGTTATATTAAGGAATGTAAGACGTTCAGAAGATATGTCAAAGACATGTCATAGAAAAAGCGATAGAGCAATGAGAGGCTCGCGACTTTTCGTCTGTGAGAAAGGGGTCGTAGGGTGGAAAATCTGCTTTTCTCAGAGAAAAAAAGACGCTGTGTTGCGCTCTTACTTAAACTTAATCGTAGCGTTCCGATAATCTGTTCATTTTCATCATAATGGACTATTTCTGGAGACATTATCCTTGTACACGTGGCGACCCGTTTTTATAAAACCCTTTTCTCTGCGACCTTAAACATTTACTTAAATTTAATAATTCAATACGGCATTTTTTAAGATTATGGTTACATAATATAAATATTGCTTCGGTTCTTTTCGTATTATAGTTTGTAATTTCGAGTAATTTGATATTTTTAAATTAGGACTCGAAACTGTTACGAAACTTGTCGTATGTTGTAACACCCTTAATACCATAAAATCAGCAGCCCCAAAAGATCGCCTCTGGGGAGGACAGGCTTTCCCCTCGGAGGAGATGATGATCTAGTATCTGTTCCGTGCTGGTGGCTGTCCTCTATCCCGCTGCCTGGACAGAATCCTCGGACTCGTTCCGTAACGTCTGTTCCGTAGCGTTGATATGACCAGCTATGACTAGCTTAAACAAGCTATGATCAGCTAAGACCAGTTTTGACCAGTGGCCTGAGTGGAGACACACGGGTCGCCATGTTAAAACAAACTGACCTTGTGTCACATTCTAAATCAGTGGAGAGTCAAAAGTAAATACCGGAGAATATAGGCTTTCTTTCAATGCTATACGGTGACCCTGCCTACGCAGTTGATGCACTTTTAGCTGGAGGGGGAGATTTGGGTTGTTTAGAGACTTGGTCTTCGGAACAATATGATGCCGTCTTGCCATATCGTCGATAAGAATCTTTAAGCTTCCTATTATTTTTCGCCGGATTATCGTGCGATTCACTTCTTCGTTACGAGTGCGATCTATTGTCGTAGTGGACGTGCTGACCTATGCTTTGAGAATCCCTTTCAGGACTAAAACACTGTCTTTCCACTGATTACATGGTATGTAATTACCATTTGTCCTTTTAAGGGCAAATTCGTTTTCTCCCCACCCCAACTGCATGGGTCAGCTTACAACCTCTTGTTCCGGTATCCCCGGCGCTTCTCAAAGTTATTTTGCACTCTCAGCGCTCGACCTTCCGTTCCAATATCTACTTCGCTTCTCAATGGTACCTGCACTCCCAGCAACGACATTTCATTCCGGTATCTTCAGCGTTTGTCCACGGTACATGCACCCCATTCTTTCCGGGATTTTTCTGCGTTCATCAACTGCCTCGATATATTCTGCGTACAACCAACCGTTTCTGGCATCTACTACGCATAGCAGTCTTCTGAATTCTTTGGCATCTTACTCCCAAATAAATGGTACTGGTCCCGATACCATCTTCTCCAGGGTTCTTACCCTCACAGCAATTGTGCTGGTCGTATACCAATCTTCTCCCAAGCACATTGGCATTTTCTACGCCCAACGATCCTCATTGGCGGACATATTTATTTCCTGCGAACACAGTATGCCTTTCTTCGAAAATCGACTCTTCAAGATTTTTCCCGCGCCTATCTTCTGACCAGTTTACCTTCTTCGAACATAGACTGTTCTGGGCTTCTTCTGCGCATGTCTGTGGACTCAGTTTGTCATCTTCAAACATTGAGTTATCTAGACTTCGCACGCCTTCTAACATTGTCCTCAGCTGCGCCCCCTATGGGACTATGTCGGTGAACTGACGGCTCGTATCGCTCCCGAAAAGCTCGTGTGTACCTAGTTAATGTGTGTAAGTATTGGTCCTGGCCTGTTCCAAATCGAGATTCCTAACACCTCTAGTTTGTTTTTTTGTCCACTTTTTTATCTCGACTGGATTAGTTTCTTTTTTCCCCGTGGCCGTATTTATTTTATCCTCCCCTTTCCCTTAGCGAGTGAGCCTCTTGATTTTGTCTGAAGACAGAATACAGCGGCCTCTTTTATTTCTTTAGGGGTTAGACCGGTCCAACTAACATCAGTTATCTTTGTGTAATTTCGTTATATTTTAGTTTGTTTTTGGGTTCATCCCCTCCCCTACTCATTACTTTTCATCAACAGATTTTTATATATAATCTTATACTCAACAATTTTCATGGCATGTAGTGTTTTGTAGGTTCCCAGTGTGTCCTATTTATATTATGGTATATGTAGGATTGAATGATGATGTACGAAAAAAAAAAAAGTGGATGTGCAAAATTGTAATGAATGAATAGGTTGTGAATCTGATTGAATATTTTTATAAAATTTTTCATGACCAGCCCCAAATTTAAACCCCACTTTTTTTGGCACACAAACTTGTTTTTTTAAATCATAAATCACGACATGCCTAGACTTCTTGTGCGCATGTCTACTAATGACAGTTTTTATCGTCCTTGAACATCGACCGTTCTTGATTACTTCTGCGCATGTCAACTGAGTTTACGTTTTTTCGAACATGGACGGTTCCTGTTACTATGGGAAATTCTCAACTGATTCAGTATTTTCCTACTTCCCGTCAACATTTCCGGTTTCTGCTTTGTTTGAATCGACTCTTCCGGTTAGTAATATACACATGTCATTCTTCTTCTGTGTATACAAATACTGACTCTGTGTAAATTACTAATCGTTACGGTCTTCTCGTCAGCGGCATTATATATTATATAACTACTGGCACTGAATAGTGGCGAGAGATTCCTGTTGGTCCACTATCTGGTCTTACTAAATAATAATTAATAGTGGCGGGGGGTGACATTCCTGTCAGACCCTAAGACATTTGACCTTGTTCTGTACATAGACAGACTGGAAAGGATATGTAAGGAAAACATTAGCTTCCAAATCTAGTACAAGCTCTACAAATCGCTGGTTGAATCCATCCTCGTCAGCGTGAGACTTGGTCACTCTTTGTTGAGGCAGGAAAAAGGTTCCGGGAGTTCGAGAAAAAAATACCTGAGAAAGCTCCTCCGTATCTCCTACTGAGAGCACAAATGACTATGTACAGAGCAAGGTCGAAAGTCTCGTGGTACGACAGGAACGCCACTCCGCAACTATTAAGCGCCGGAAATAATAAGTAAAAGTCATAGAATGAGCTTGGTGAAGGATCCAGAAAGATTTGAACATGAAATAAATCAAGTAGAATTTATTATAATTTATTAAGACCAGAGTCTTCTAACAGCCACTCTCTTGACCTTGGGGAGCAGGATTGTAATGTAAGTTGTGGTATTCACGTAAACATTATACAGGGGGAGATGGATAAATTGTCGTCTAAATTACGCAAAAATAAAAATAACGCTGACATCTCATTTTAATATATATTTACCAAAAGTACGCAAAAAATATCTTGAAATACTAAAGAGTAAATTTATTCAATAAAATCGCCAATGGCTTCAACCACGGCCTCCAGACGACTTCGGAATCTCCTGCAACTATTCTAGACGGTCTACTTGTTTAAGTTGGTGAATGCTGTCATAATCCTTGCCTTCATTTCATCTTTGGTATTACATGGAACTTTGTTGCTCTCTCGTTTACATAACATTCAAGGGTTTGCCGTCTGGGGAGTTAGGTGGCCTGATTAAAAGATGATGTGGTCGCCGAAATTGTCTGACAGCTATGACTGGGTTCTCCTGCTTGTGTGGCATGGTGCAGTGTCCTGTTACCAGACATAGGGTCTTCCAGCAGCCACCCTCTTGACCCAGAGCTGCACTCCCTCTTCAAGACACTTGATGTAGACCGCCGTGTTGAGTCTGAGGCCCTCATTCAACTCTTTCCGAATCCTCTGCACTGTACTTAGATTGACACCCAAACACTGAAATGTTCGTATTGGAGTATCTGGCATGAAAGCCAAACAGTACAACAGTACTGTTTCCAAATTTCTGGTGGAGTGAATTGCATCATGGTGCTCTTTTTCTCAGAGACGATGTCCAAGTGTCCCTACTTTACTGTGCAGTCAACAAAATCAAAAATCAAACAACACGCATCCACGAAATTAAAGATATAAAATGGCGACTATTTACCCATCACACCCTGTAGGTATATAGGTAATGTTTTTCAAGTTTGGCTCAGAAAATAATTTCATTGTATTATTATTTAATTACGACCGGCAATCACGAACAATACGTAAACGTTTCAATCGATATTTAAAATGTCACTCACTTAAATTACAACATGTAACTCGAAAACATTCCGTGATATTAAGTTTTATTTACTAACTTCCTTTGTAAATAATGCCGGTAAGAACGCTTTTCAATTTACTGATATCAGTAAGCCACATTTAGCAGGATAAAAATCAAATGCTGATTGATTGTGTTGATATATCTGGTCTGGTGTTCCTGCTGTACATCTCGAGATTCTTGACAAAATCCAGAGAAGGGTCTGTAATACAATCGACCCTGACCAGGCATCTCATCTCCAGTCACTTTCTCATCGGCGTGACGTGGCTCCACTCTGTTTCATAAATATATTCATGACAACTGTTGTGGTGAACTTTTTT